ATAAAGACGCGAGGGAGTGGGCACGCTCCTGTATAAAATGCTAGATGTCTGGGGAGGTCAGGTACAACAAATGTCCCCTAGGCTCTTTCGCAACTCCTTACTCTCATTTCTAGCATTTTCATCCACATTTGGCAGACCCCTTGCCAGATTCAAAATGATTGTTACCTCTTAACACCTGTAGACTGTTCCACATACTAGGCAGTAGCAACGTCTATCAAGCATAACACTGCTAAGACACTAGCTCGAGCTTTCGTAGAGCTGTGAGTAGTAAGCTACGACAGCCTTTCGTCAGTTTGAATCTGGACTTTTCCATTGTCTTATTATACTACTAGATATCAAACGATTCCGAGCGTCCACCTTCCACTCACAAGCTAACGGGTCGGTAGAACGATTTCACTGACAGTTGAAAGCTTCACTCGCAGCTGTAAAGTCATTCCAGTGAACTGACGCTCTTCCACTCGTTTTACTGGATATTCGCTGTGTGGTGAATGCTGGAGTTGGATACACTACAGTACAACTCGTTGATGAAACGATAATTCGGCTCTCAGGTGAATACGTAGATCCTTGGCCTTCGTCAATGAATACGAATATAAACTCTTACACGAGCAGGCTTACAAATGCCATGCACTTAGTCAAACTTGTTTCTACTCAACTGTAGTCAGCTGATTTTTTCGTCCAACCCGCATAACACATGGTACAAAGGTTTTAGTACTCCGAGATTCATTACAACGACCCATCAAAGGAAGATACAAAGGACAATTCAAATTCCTACATCACTGATGGAGCAGGAACTGACGATAATGTTAGCACTGACCATCTTAAAAATGTGTATTTAGAAGAAAACCCAAATTATGTCCATTTTTCCGTGCACTTTGATGACACCAGCCAAACAACTACGATACCTCTCCTAATAACCAACAATCACGAAGGAACTTCGGTGATGACTGGCCTAAAACACCACATTCTGAAGGAAGAGTAAGGTTTTCGGAACATTTGACAAATTATTGTACGTAGGATAACACATAACATTTTCTTTTTTCTCAGTTTTTAGTATTATTGTACCAAAAAAATCAAAAACAAACATTTTTTTCTAATATGCTCATTAATATGTGTGTATTATCGTAGAAACCTCATTGTGTGGAAATTTTTTATACGCTATTGCATGTTAAAAACACATGTATTTAAGTTTACTTTCCTTTTTCGCCCGATTTGTATCCTTGCGCATGTACGAATGTATTTCGACATTCGTTCGTGCTTGTCTATTACTTCTTGATCCGATTACTTTATTTCTGGGATTCTTAGTTCGTACTACAATTTAGATAATTCGAAATACCGAATTGGCGTCGCGAGCAGGATCCTGTGATTGGGACGGTTGGACATACATTCAGATTTCGATGCTTTTGAGGATTACTTCGAAACGTTCCAAATCCGGGCTATAACCAAGAAAGATGATGTTAATATTGTAGCACATTTCCTCACATTCGTCGGAAAAGAAGCATAGAGCTTATTAAAAAGTCTGGCTTTACCGGAAAAGCCCATTTCTCTTTCTTATACAATTCTCAAGGATCTACTGCTAGACTATGTTAAGTATACAAAGTTCGAATGCGGTGAAGGAGGAAGATTTCGTAAAATGACTCATGATGATATAAAAAATTCCACTGCATTACGTCATCCCAACCCAGTGTATACTCAAGGTTATGCAGATAATTCATTGAGGAGTTGAGATACAGTTCATGAAGATGGGCACAAGTCTAGTCAGTGTTTGTCCTGTGGCAGATTCCACTCTTTTAATTCATGTAGGTTTCGTAATTCTAAGTGCTCTAAATGTGGTGATGTTGGACATATTCAGTCAGTTTGTAATACTACTGTTCATCTTGCTGCAACTAATATTAGGTCTTGTAATTCTGATTCTATTAAGTTGAGTATTTATGATGATCATTTATCCTTATCAACGATTTCAAAAGACAGTGTATAGTCATATAGCAGTTCAGAGTTAAATGAAACTCAGAATCCTTGTGAGACAACAGTTTCTAATCAATCAACTCATCAGATTTTTCATGTTATTGTACAAGATATGGTTTTTCCTAATGGTTCGTTTATTTTTGATGAGATTCCCTACAAATCTGAGGAAAATATATTGAGTGAACCTAGTCATGATCGAGGACCTGATGTAGTTTTGATAGATGCTGATTTTTCTAATGACCTTTTACTCTGCAATGACATTCCTAATAAATTCGAGGGAACTATTTCAGAAGAATCAAATCTTGATATTCTCAGGAGGCGGGATCGTGGATGTTCACTCCTGAGAAGTCCCATACTAGAACGAAACGACCGTCCATTGCTTCCAGGTTTTCCATCGTAGTCCATCTTCAATTGAAATATTATTTGTCTTCATAATGCATTTGTTTCTTGTGGGAAACTTGTTCAGTGAGAAGATCAAGTACTAAATGAGCTCGATTTTGATTAAAACTCGGATGATTTCATATCAACTGCTGTTAATCCTTATCACGAAGTCACTTCTAGTGTTTACCCTAGTCAGTGTGAGAAATATGTTTTAAATGAAGCCACATCATTCATAACTTGAGGATATAAAGATCCAACATTATTTCATTGGGGAGGATAGTGTTGAAAAATCTATGGTTCGAATTCTGGATATTAATGATTTCAGTACAAAACCGACATACTGATTGTATACAATTCCAGGTGAGTCTGTTCCGATTTCGGTTGTTAATTCCAATACTAATAAGCACATTCTAGATAAGACCGAGTTTTTATCCAACACACTGTCGGACAGACACAGGATGAACTTAAGAAGACGTGCAATCGATTACAGACACTTAAACTAATTTAAGCTGTGGCGGATGTGGTGTTTGAATGAACTAATGATTTCTCTGTACTTGTTGAGTGCTTGATTTCGAATTTTAAATACAGTGAATTCGTTCGTGTTTATCCAGTAATTCTTGATCCGATTACGTTATTTCTGGGATTCCTAGTTCATACTATAATTTAAATAATTCGAAACACTATACTACCTCAAGCTTCAACTGTTTTGTTCCACTATCTGAATAAAAGTCTACTATAACCACTAGTCTGGCTCCTTTAATATATAAAACGAGTGGTAACTACCAGTACTAATCGACAGCTAATGTTTGGACACCTAAGTGTATGCTCTTTAAGGCACTATCGTCCACAGCATAAATTAAAATTAAAACCTGGAGTGATCTATTGTAAAGTTCACCTAATACTGCATGTGGGTACTATTGTAAAGTCCACTTAAAATCTAGACGAATCCAAGTGTCAGTCTTGGATGTTGATGGTCTATAGCTTTAGAATATTTTCAGACCATATTTTCATCACTGTCACTTGAAAGTTGTATACAGGAAACAATTGCTCGTGAACAGTTTGATTCACATTCGGAAGGCTCCTTAAAGTTTTTTGGTAAAATCACATAAGCTAGTTTTCAAATCATCTCATCACCGTCATCTGAATTTCACCAATCGTAATGTTACTATTCAATATTATCCAAGATTCTCCAACTTTTAACAGGTCTTGGGGGTTCTTGGGTTAGAAGGAAATCAACAGAGTTAAATGAGGAGACGAGACGCAAAACGTACTTAAGCAATCAATTTTACATTTGAGAATAATGAACTGCATTATCAATAGATTAAGAAAGTTTGTACACTAAGAGATTGGTCCCCTCTTAAGCAGGTGAAACTTTAAACGGAATTATAAGCTTGTTTACCCTAGAGTTTACATTGATTTGCGCATTATATGTGAAAGTTTTGAGAAAAAAGTGGTGAAACTTAAAAAAAACTTTCAGTAGACTCTTGGTTTCATCGAAAGTTATTTCTATAAAGAGTGATCTACAAACTAATTGCAGCAAAACTGTAACACCAAGCCCACCGTAAACGCGTCAAGTCATAATGTATTGGCCGTTACACTTAAGTATGGGCTCAGAATAAAGGGTGCAAAATCTTGCTTGAAAAGATCTTAGATTCATCTAGCAATACTTATTGTCGATTTTGTATTTTATTTAGCATATTTTATTGGACTTAACGCTCTGTGTATTCAATAAGACCACAGCTGTATATTAGAGGTCTTCTGCATATTTAGTATCGGAGTATTTTCCAGGCAAGCTGGTCACCGGATATTTGCGTACTGAAGAAGTTGGATGTGAAACTATTCGTAGACGTAAAGATTTGTTTTGCTGATATAAACCGTTGATTGAATTCGCATAAAACAAACAGACATATATGAGGGCAAATACACACCTTTGACAAATGTTAATTTGAACGATCTGTTTACTTGCTCACTGACTTACCACGTGTTTCGCCCGTTACCCCTCATGGAGGAGCATAGTCCGCCCACCAGGATTCTCAATCCCCTTCTGTCCTGTACAATCCCCTCCAGTTGTTTCGAGTTTCTACTCATTCTTTCGATACCTGATTCCAGTTCCCAACGCAGTATGTTCTTTGGGCTTCCTCTATTCCTTTTCTCCTCAGGATTCCAAGTTAGCCTTTACCCCGTGATGCAGTTTGAAGATTTCTGTAGGGTTTATCCTATCAATTTCCAACGTCATTTTATGATTTCCTCTTCAGCTCGATGCCAGTTTGCTTTCTTCCACAGTAAGGTAATGGTGACATTATATGGTCAACGGACATTCAGTGTCCAGCGTGAACAATTATTTATAAATACTCGTACCTTTTTAAAGTTGGTTGTAGTAGTTCTCCAAGATGGCAACACCTCAAAGTTAATCAACAATCTCCACAACAAATATATCTAACTCAAATTCCCATAGTGGAAATAATAGCTTCCATTAAAGAATTTGCCTGGTCTCAACCTATCACTGATCGCCCTAATACTAAGTACATGATATTCTACATGGTAACTGAGTAAGTGGGCAAGTTATTCTCGCTCAATAAAAATTTTCTTAACATGGAGGGATTTTCGTGATTAATATTTTACTTTTATTTTATTAAGTAGATTGTCTAGTTATCGGTGTTAATGGCTCGGAGACTTTCAAAAGCTGCGTTACTCGTTGAACCTAAGCACACGACCTTGGTTAATACCGTTAGGCTTGTAGACAGGTGATATTAGTGTTTGAACGTAATTTTTGTGTCATGTTTTTTCCTTGAAGTTTTCATTTGGCGAGATATATGTTTGTTTTGCAGTCTATCATGTGACTATCACAATTTACTCGATGGAACCATTCGTCGACTTGTTTTTCAATAAGATCCTTTAATTTTAGTCTAAAATTGAATTCGTATTATAAAAAAGGACACTATCACAAACGCATAGTATCCTGGGGGACTTGCAAGCGTATTGTCTTTATGAAAAGTTGTGATCAAAGGAGTTGCGTGTTCTGTTTATTTCAAGTTTTATGGATACATAATTTTCCAAATTATATCTGCCTAATAGTGGTTTTCTGTAAGACTCAGATGATAAGAGACTTTATGCAGTATTTGTAAACAGTGACGAACTAAACATACGTCGAAGTCAAGATTAAAGTACGTGAATTATGTGCTTTACTATAGCCCACTTTTAGTTTAGGCCTGAACTATTAGTCTAATCACCTAAAGCTGGTCAAACTTCACATAAGGGCAGACAAAATTTTTTTCATTGTTGTCGCACATGTGGAATTGAAACGAATTGACTGAGAAGTTGTTTGAAGGGGATCAGGACGTTAATCTTCACAGAGCGTTAGTCATTAGTTCACTTGAAATGTTATTCCCAGGATTTTCTCTTTATATATCGTCAATAGGTAACTTTACTCGACGTTTTCGTATCTTGTTAAATATGAGTATATAGTAAGACAGTTTAAATTAATGGACTGTCATTATGTAAGCAAACTTGTTTATTAACAGTGCTAATATTAACTAATAAGACAATCCTCAGTAAGCTTCCTAAATTACTGATGACCTGTAAACGCTTCTTATCGTTCGTCTTCACCATATTTGTAACAATCTTTATTTGAAGTGGGTTTATGGTGAAGTTTCACACACTTAAATTGGAACGAATGTAAGTTGTTGGTGTTTTTGCACCTGTATTTCCATAACTGATACTGCATTCTATTGAGAACTATATTTTTTGGTATTACTGGGAATTGAGTCTTAAAGATCATTTCTTTAAAAACAATTTAATGAATCCTACCCTGTAACTACGACTTGCATCTTGAGTTGAGGTGAGATTGACTTTGTTTATGCATCAGCATTAAATTTGTCTACCGAACAGCAAAGAAAAATGACTCACGCTAACTCCCCTTACCTCAATACTGCATTTTTCAAGCTCTTTACACAATTCAACCCCGTGCACAATAATATGTTATTGTGTAACCTTCCTAACTTTGCATTATTAGGTCGAACAGGAGCTTTAATGTATGTTCACTAAGTCATAAACTTACGTTTGCTTTATTCTAGGTTACTTATCCAGTCTTTTGGATTCATTCATTTTGTGCTCTAATCATAAAACTTCTGGGAAAGAAATCGCGCAAAAGTTATGAGTGTTGTTACACCTAGTGATTTAATCAGAGAATCTGCCCATGTTAAGTCAGCAGAAGAACACAAATTATTGTCTGACAAAGCATTATGCAATCCTAAGGAATTTTGGTTGGGATATGCAATGAAGTTTCACTGGCATTCACCTCCTTCATTCGGAAAATGTCTTAGTTACAATTTCGATTGCCGTAAAGGACCTATTTTTGTTAAATGGTTTGAGGATGGATGCACAAATATTTGCTACAATATCTTGGATCGCAATGTTGACCGTGGTTTTGACGATAAAGTGGCAATTTTATGGGAAGGCAACGATCCAAATGATACAAATCGTTTGACGTACTCTGAAATGTTGACCAAGGTACTTAGACCTTGTATTTTCATTTCTTTTTTAAAAATTGTTTTGCAAATTAAACTGGTTGCAGACTATTTGTCATTTTTTCCCAATTCAGAGTTTGTATCAAAACGAAGTTAGGATGTGTATGTATCTAAGCATCACTCACAGATTTTACTCACTGGTTGTACAAACAACTCATGGTTAAAATGTTAGTGTAGTAGTTTCCATGAACTTTTGTTGGTATTTATTTATTTGGACGCGTAAATATTGGTACAAAGGGGCATTGAATACATATGCGCCACACAATTCACTTGATTTGTGCGTGGGTTGTGATACTGCTCGGGTGCCCAAACCGAACCAGGTGGTTTTCTTAGTTGGCCACATCCAGAGCCTTCGAACCTCAAGTCAAAGAGCGGACTCCCCCCACTCTCGGTCGTACGAGGGCATTTGGGGGCATACACTTACTTTATTTGTACAACGTATTATCTGGACTGTTTTACTTCTCAGCGAAGTCAACTTTTATACTTCTGAACTGAGAGTTTTATTATTTCATCGAGTTATTAGAATTTCCGAACTTTTTAACCTGACTCATAGCTCTCATTTCTACTGTTAACCTGATATGACCATTATGTTTATTTTGGTATATCTGCCACTTCAATAAGTTCAGTTTGTCGAGTCACAACGAAACACTACGCTATTTTAAAGCACAAGGTGCTTTTTCGAAGAAGAAAAGCGAAAACCTAGTTGATAGAAACAAATTTGTAAATTCGAATAGCAATTCATTATTCCTTTTCCATGTCTGTTTGAAACAGTAAAGTCCAAGTGTTTCAATTCATTACCAATACTGAATACATTGTAAGAGACAATTGTACTGATTTGTTAATAGTAATATCATGTCTCATCTTGTTTCTATATATTTGAATATCTGAGTAGTAAGTTAGGAGCTCATTGAATATAATTCATCCATGCTGCTGCAAGTTGTGTGTTACGCCGGTTGAAAAACCATGCCTGGTCTTTTATACATATGTGGTTTGAACTATTGACCTTATGATTTGGAACTAAATCCTTAAAAATAAATCAATTCTGACGTATTTAGTATGCGCGTAGCAGTGGAATCCAGAAAGCACTTTTCGTTCTTTTTGGGACTCATCATCGGGATTTGTCTACATCCCTATCTTGATGTTTATACTGAAACTGGAAACCAGTACATTTCTCTTGAAACACCAACTAACTAATTGTAGTCCTGAATACCAATAATAAGAAATTACAAACCCTTGCTAATAAATTAATTCTGATGACTATATTTTTGTTAGTCTCGTTCACACTTTTGTAAATCAATTAATTTCTTGCATGCTTTTAGTAGTCTGTCGGCTTAAATTATTTGACCAATTGCTTTTAATTATTTAAAATACTCCATATAGGTCAAAAGAATTGGTAAAATGCTCGCGAATCTCGGTATTAGAAAGGGAGATTGTGTTGCCATTTATATGCCTATGATTCCAGAGCTCCTGATGACTATGTTAGCATGTGCTCGTATTGGTGCTGTACATACTGTTGTATTTGGTGGGTTTTCCGCCTGTGCTCTTGCCGATCGAATTATCGATGCCAAGTAATATAGTATTTCCAACAGCTTTTTTTCAAATATTTTACTTCTAGTATTATGTATTAGTCAGAATAGCTTCATTATTTCTGAAACTTATATAAAACTGATACCAACTCCAATGGGACTAGATTTAGGAGTTTTGATGAATCTGGCTTGTTGTCCAGTGTAACACTTAGTCCAAAGGTTGGAGGCTCTAACATGGACTTTATTATAAAGTGTCAAGTGTTCAAGGATAGCTTTTCGCAAACTGAAGTCATAAATTATTTTATTTGTTTTTATTTTAACACATAGATATTGGTACAAGGAGGCACCATATACATATGCGTCACACAGATCTCACTTGATATGTGTGAGGGCTGTGATACTGACCGAGTAGACTCTCCATGTCCACCAACAAGGTTAAAGCGCTGGACATTCGCTTTTCGTCCTCTCACTTTCGTAAACAACACACGTGATGCGAGAAGGCAGTGAGTAGGACTTCCCTGGCAGAGGCTATATACGCGTGGCCATGTGAGAGTATTTCGAGAGGGAGAGCGGACTCTCCTCACTCGGCCGTACCAGGGAATTTGGGGGCGAAGTCATAAACACCCGTTGGACATATAGAAAATAGGTTTAGAAAGGTGGTGTTAACTAAACCGGAAACATTTAGATACTAGTAATTCAGTTGTCAACGGAGATTTGCTGGGACTGGCACTTCCATGCTGTTCACATCAAGGAACAATATTACTCACTTGTGTCATCACATGAAGTAAGCTAGACCATTGGATTCGTATAGAAGCTACTTTTGAAAAGGAAGATAATAAATGTATTCCTTTTTGAATTTCTGTGGGTTCTTTTCTTATGACAAATATGTTTAAAAGCCACTAAGCCTACATATCCGTTTTATAAGTGATTTTTCTTCAACTGTCTTGTGTCATCACTAGACAGTTCTAATAATGGGGTTTCTGGTGCGATATTCGTAATATATTTGATCCCTTCGAAATTTTAGGGCTTTTTGTCCAGTTATTGTACATGGACAAGATATTGTTTTTCAGACAGGTTGAAGTTTTTTGATGAAGTTTAAAAATATTTTGACTTCCACCAAGTAAAACCACAGCACTTCAGTCATCTAGATAATGTATCTTGGTGTACTGCATCCTTTATCAAGCAGTTATTAATGTCTTTTGTTATCCAGTACATATGATATTTAATTCAGAGTAAATCACTGACTGAATAAATTACATACACATGTAGACGCAACTATATAAGGGGTGCTAAAAAGGGATCTCCAAAAGATTTTCCGAGAACAATCCTAGATGACTGTTCTTGATAAAGGTAAAATACTCAGTGGAGTTATCAACAAGGTGATGAAGCATAAAGTCGTGACTCGGTGTCCGAAAGCTGATGATGATATTCACTCTCCCTATACACAAGCGCAGCTACGCAAGAGAAGAAACGAAGAGTGGGGAAGGAAGTTTATTTTGGTAGGTCGAATCGATTGAATATAGACTTATATATGGGTCTCATCCCTTGAAAATGAAAACAATTCCTTGGTCAATCATGTGCACTTACCGTTCGGCGATTTCTGATTGGCCAAAAGTTTCGGAAATAGATATCTCCAAAGGTTTAAAAATAATTAGCAAGCAACACAAAATTTACTTTATCTTAAGAAAATCATCTCCATCATGTATTTCCAACACATCATGCATACAGAAAGAAAGAAGGTTGAAGTTGTCGTTTATCTAATTAAAATGTGCTGTCTGGAAACAATCTCACTCATTACATAATTCTTTTTTTCTCACAAATCCACCTACAGTCAGCTACAAGGTGGGACCAGGCACATATGTGCATCGGTCAAAGTTGCTACACCTCATTAACACAACAAGATGAACACCAAATTCATAGAAGCAGTTACTTCATTGGTTGTAATATATAAAAGAAATATTGCATATAAGGATATAATACAGTAAGAAAAAATTAGTTCGTAAAAAGGTATAAGGCAGTTTTAATCTCACGGCTTAAAGGAAGATAAAGAGTGTATACACATATGCCATTGTGATCGATTCTAAGCCACATCACCCAGTCTCCAACAGTTAGTTATGATAGTCACGCGGACTTCGACCAAGTAGTCTTCATCTATCAACATGGCTTAGACCGGAAGTTAGTGACTTCAAGGACTGATGCCACGTTTTGGTTTGGCCGCCCCTAATCTTAATCGTTCAATTTCTTGTGTTTATTTATTTATTACTGGTTACTTCACTTTATTTGATATGTCTAGATTATATACAAAATAAATATGGATCATTTTCAATTATGATATATAACGTTTCTTTTTACATCTTCTCTTCCTTTATTTTCTCTGATATGCCGAGCAATGGGCTAGTCGACTAGAGTGTGAATGACATACGAACTTAAATTTTCGTTCAACGTTACTTCCATTTTAATTTAATATGATGATTACTCTGTAATATTTGTCTTATTTTCAGGGTAATATTTTGTTCAATACAACGTTGAGTATATTTCAGTGTTATGTTTCTTCGGGGCAGTATCCTTTGTATCAATTAAATGTGAACTTTGTTCCGTATGACATGTAGCTTGAGTTTTTGTAGTAATTCTGTGTATTTCTCCTATACGTAATAGTTGTTAACTAATCATGAAATGTGAGTAAAATTGACATGTAGATGAGTGTATTCATGTATCATTTTGATTTATTTTGGAGGCTCAGTAAATCCTTATCATCAGTCTATGTGTCCTCAATAGGGGAATTACAGGGTTCTTTCTCGTCTCCTTCCTATCCTCTTACCTCTTCCTCTCTCTTCTGTATCTTCTGACTTTCTGTCCCATCTCAATTTTGTTAATTAAATTATTTCAACGATTTATTGTTTATAATCGTTATTATTCGTTGCTTAATTATGTTCTGTCTTTGCAGCTGATTATTCATCACTAAGATGGGAGGGTTATGAGGATTTTCTAGTTAAAATCATGAACTGATCTTAGTTAAACAGCCGCTGAAAACTAACAAACACTGGACTGCCGTTCCGTATAGGATGACTCAGGGGTCTAGAAGCTAAGCGTTCGCGCGCGTGATTGGAGTCTTGGGTTCGACCTCTGGTGATGGGTTATGGATACATACTGATGAGAAGCCCCATAGCAGTAGAAGATAGTTGTCCAGGGCTTCCTAGTTTTCAATAGTTGTTTAACTACAATTAGTACGTGATATTAACCATTATGAGAAATCGTCAAAATAGAGTGATGCAAATGTATTTATTCAACATTTTTCTGTTAAAAAATTACATATTTCTTTTTTCCCTAGATTCTGTAATTTGTTGTTTCGTTTATGCGCATTGATTTAATATTTGAACTGTGCAGATTTCGCTTAGTAGAATTATTATCTCAGTATATTTATTATTTCGAAGTAATAAAAAATCTCTTACCTGTTTTTATTTCTTTTAATCAGATGTAGCATTCTTATCACTGCTGATGGAACATGGAGAGGATCGAAACTTATTCAACTTAAATCAATTGCGTCTACTGCAATGGATATGTGTGAAGATAAAGGATATTTTATCCAACGATGTGTTGTATTTCAACATGTTACTGCTTTTCCCTCTAAATCCATTAATGGAATCAGTAATAATGTTGAAAGTAAAGATGGCGTTCGACCCGCTTCAATGTAAGTTTTTTTTTGTCATTGGAAAATAAAATTTACTTTTAAGGTCCTTTTATCATAAATAATTTTTATTGATGAAAAATAATTTGATATATATTTGTACATTAAACTAATTATTTATAACTCAAACTTCATCATAATGATGAATGAGATTGTTTCTACCCTCTGCTTTCGTACTCTTTAATTAGAATGTAGAGCCCAAATTTGCATTATTTATTTATTCACCTATATACTAATTACAATAGTAAGTATAATATTTATCATACTAAGTAGTTGTTCATCATTGGAGCGAAAAAAATCACCATGAATTTATGAATACAAAAGAAATACATTAACAATTAAATGACTAATTTCATATTCAATGAACGGAAATTAACCTGAATTCAATAGTACATAAGGTTAACTGAACAAAATTCACTTCAGGTCAATACATTAATTTGATAATTGGTTTCTCCTGAATGTTATGTGGAAAGATGTAGTTAGCATCTTCAAAATAATTATAATGTTTTACCTTAAATTTTTATTAATTTTCACTTTTGATTTATTGTTTTCCCTTAAACTAAGAGATTAAAATCACTTCATATCTTTCTTTCTACGAACTAATTCTTTCTTCCTGTACTATATCCTTATATGCAATATTTCTTTTATGTATTACCACCATTGACTTAACCACTCCTATGAATCCGGTGTTCATCTTGTTGTGCTAATACGGTATGGCAACTTTGACCGATGCATATATGTGCCTGGTCCTACGTTGTAGCTGACTGACTGACAAATATTTAGAAGGTTGAAGTCATTTTTCATCCCAGTGAAGTATAGCTTACCAAGTAAGAGTTGACAAATGTTTATTTACTTATCGATCCACTGAATAGATAACCAATGTTTGCGTAGATGTTAGAGTTGATCAAACTCTATCTATTTGGCCATCTAGTTCATGGATAGGAAATTGTTATTTCAAATGTTGACAATTAGAAAGAAAGAATTCACTTCATACTATAAATAAATTTCGACCGTACCAAAAATGATCCGTCAGTTAAACAAGGTTGATTTAATTCAATTAACATTAATGGCTAGATAATCATAAGACTGGTTGCTATTCAGTGATCTATTAATGTAGAAGGTTAAGTTACGAAGTCCACTTCATACATTTTATTAGGGACAGTCGAGAAGTACCATTATTTCCTACACACACACACTCGCGCGCGAAATGTATAGCTTAAATCTGAGTACATAAGTTTGTTCTTTGTAAATGGTTCATGCACCACTAGTTTTAGCCGGAGTTTTTTGCCAGTCTCTATTACTATATGATGTTCAGTCTATTTGACATGTTATTTTTCCATTTAGGTTTTATTTTACTGATATATTTTTCTAGTAACACTGTCTTCTTCTTGATAACTTTAAATAGGCTTGATGTTCCATTGAAGGATGGTCGTGATTATTGGTGGCATGATATAATCAGTACTATTCCTGAAAATACTGATTGTCCTGTAGAATGGGTGAATTCAGAAGATCCGTTATTTATACTTTATACAAGTGGCAGTACAGGCCGACCGAAAGGTGTTGTACACACCACAGGTGGCTACATGGTTTATACAGCTACAACATTCTTCTACACGTTCGATTATCATGAAGATGATATATATTGGTGTACTGCTGATGCCGGTTGGATAACAGGTGTGTTATGCTATACTGATAATGAATTTATTTTAAATCGATTCTGTGTTCAGATGTATACAACTGTGTTTATGAAAAATCTTTAACAATATTTAATTATTTAGCATGGGGAGTTTTGTGATGTTTGAATTTTCTTAGTTTACATCATGGACTAACCTTAAACAACCAGTGAAAATGAGACAGCATTGGACAGCTTCTCTCTCATTCTTCTCTGTGCTCATTAGCGGCTAGTTTCAAGAGGTAATCCACGGAGTTCTACTGAGAAGTCGTGAACATTGGAGTTCAACCACGTCAGGTGTGAGTTGGTTACACACCGGTGGAACTGGGAGGTGGTTGGCTGAAATTTAATAAGTCTTAGTAGCTATATGTCTATCCTGTACAGATTGCCTCGATATAGCCATTATAACAAAAATTTATACAGAATAGATGGAATGTATCTAGCAGTGGAATGTATTTAAATTTGTTTTATAATGGATATATTGAGACAGTGCGCACAGAATGTACATATACCAACTAAGACTAAGTCGAAATATATCAAAAACTTATTTTATTTTATTTTTAACACATAGATATTGGTACAAGGAGGCACCAGATACATATGCACCACATAAATCATTCGATTTGTGTAAGGGCTGTGATACTGTCCGGGTGCCCAGACCGAAGCAGGTGGTTTTCTTAAGGGACCACACCCCGAACCTTTGACCTAAAGGTCTGACCCACAAGGCAGCGGAGCATTGTGAGGAGATGCAGTCCCATGGTAGCCGGTAACCAGCGATTGGTTCATATGCCATTTGTTCCTTCAGGGTACTGGGGCTCATGTGCACCATTGGTTTGGAATCCGGTTAAAGTGCCGGACATTCGCTTTTCGTCCTCTCAATTTCGTAAACAATACCCGTGATGCGAGAAGGCAGTAAGTAGGACTTCCCTGGCAGAGGCTGTATACGCGTGGCCGTGTGAGAGCATTTCGAGAGGGAGGGAGGGTGGGCCCACTCCACTCTGGGCCATACCAAGGCATTTGGGGGCATATCAAAAACGGGATAATGCAAAACAGCAAAAATTGAGATTATTTAGTTTCATGTAAATATATTAAAGTTTATGAGAGCTGATAACTGTCGAATGAAGCTAGATGGTTTTATCAGTTTCCTTGTCTTCATGGAACTACCACTAAATCTTGAGGAATGTTCATTTGTTTCTCTTACTTACATGGCCATGCATATACAGCCACTACCAGGGAAGTATTACTCACTGCCTTATCGCGGTGGGCGTGTTGTTTACGAAATTGAGAAAACGAAAAGCGAGTGTCCGGCGCTTTAACTGGGTTGGTGGATATGGAGGGTCCACATAGGGGAGTTGGAAAACCCTCATTCCAAACCAATGGTGCACATGGGTTCCAGTATCCTGAAGGAACAAATGGCGTGTAAACCTATTGTCGGTTACCGGCTACCATGGAACTGCATCTCCACTGTCTTGTGGATCAGACTCTTAGGTCGAAGGCTTGAGGTGTGACCCCCTGAGAAAACCACCTGGTTCGGTCTGGGCACCCAGTCAGTATCCCAGCCTTCACACAAATCGAATGATTTATGTGGCGCATATCTGTTTGGTGCCTACTTGTACCAGTATTTATATGTTTAAATAAATAAATACGAAATCGATATTAATCCCACTTATCCCTTGTAAGTTGGTGTGTTTAACTATAAGCTGCGTTTGTCGTATTAAAGCTAACAGTACAACTAGGTTCGGTCAATCAAAATGGAAAGCATTGATTTTTAGATCTGTGAATCAGTGACATTAAGTTAGTGCACCACAGCCCCACAAAATCTAACAGCTGGCGATTACGGTCTGATTTTCGGGTGTTGTGTGCTAGGTGTATCCTTTAGGATCGTGGAGTATGTGCAGATTTTTGGAATCATAACTCATTGGTTCAAAAACTTGATTCATCATTCATTATGTCATTAGATCGAATAGTACTTAATCTATTCTAATTCGACCACTACCTAGACCATTGTGGTCCTTACTCAATAGTTTAAGGGTATCATTTTCATCATCAGACCTGAAGGTCTTAGGTTCAATTCCATATGTAAAGTTCTGAGTGTAAAATGTTGAAAAACTGTAAACTGTTAATGGTTCTACAACCATTATCAATCTCTGTTCAGGCTTTCTGCTTGAGTTGTTTTTATTTATGATCTCTCTGAAACTTAGCTTAATTCTCATTTTTCAAACTAGACAGTTTAAACATTTCCTACAAGTAATAGAAATATTTAGTAGTATATGTGTACATAAAGTTCTAGGTAGATTTTCAATTGATATAATTACTTTAAACAGGTAAATAATTGATGTACAATATAATATTCATTATGACATTGTTAATATTTAAAAGGTTTATATTCTTCTGAAAATTAACAAAATATGTTGTCAAGGATAAGGCACAAATAACTTAATTATCATTTCTTTTTAGGTCATTCATACGTTGTATATGGACCATTATTAAACGGTGCTACAAGTGTAATATTTGAAGGTATTCCAACTTGGCCTGATCCGGGTCGATATTGGTCTATCGTAGATCGATATAAAGTGACAAAATTCTATACAGCTCCAACAGCAATTCGTACGTTAATAAAAGCTGGTGATCAATACGTCCAATGTTATGATCGTACATCATTAAAGGTGAGTATTCGTTATTGTGTTGTCAATTTCTAATTGTTGTGAATTTTATTGGTATATAGTATAGTGTAAGGTAGTATATGAATACATCTCTGTTGCTATTGACGTATCCAGTTAAATTTTTTAAAAATACTTCGGGCTAGTATTTGTATTTTACTAAATTTGACGTTTGGTTGAATAGGAAATATACAAATTGATCAGTGAAAGTATAAGGAAGGGACAGGTCAATCAGGATTATCACGTATAACTAACGACGAAAATACCTTTGTTTACTGTTCAAAACGTTTAAATTGATTTAAAAAATTACTTTTTACCACCATAAAGTAAATATGATAGTGTTAACCTTGTCAACTCCCCAATTCTGCTTTTGTAGGCTGCATATAACTGGCTAAACGATACTTTACCTAAATTATAACCTCAAACCCTCAATCGTAAATTAAATATTAATTCGGTGGCACTATGTTTTATGTACAAACGAATCAAATAGAAACTGTTGCATTTTGTTTATGCATGAAATTCGTTCTGTTTGGCTACATTGTATTTTTAAATTATATCTGATGCCATCTATTTGTGATAAAAACGGCAACCTTAAACCTAACTGCGAACAGTGTGTGGACTCGTATAAATTAATCTGGGTCCTTATAAGGTCTCGAGAAGACGGATAATTTGTATCTGTAAGGACAGATTTATATGTCATTGTTTTTTTTCAGTTTATAGCCAGATTAACCGGTAGAAGATTTAAAAAAATTATTTACATATTTGGAATCAATGTACACTAATGTTTTTGTTTTGTTTTCCATAAACTATCTATTGACAAAGGCTATTTTCTGGTTGACTAAAAACTGGTGGAATATTTGCCGCTGTTGTTTTAAGCTCTTCCGTATACTATACTCTTACTAGCTGGACAACGAATACATTTTCTGTATAAATTCTCATCAGGTTCCAGTTAATGATCCAAAGGAATAATAAAATTTAAAGCAAATACATCTTTTAAGAAGTATAGAATATGAATTTAGGATTACTAATAATATTAAGATAAAATTGTTCATGTAATAATGTCTAGTATGTAATATTCACCTGAATAAGTTTAAATATCACTCGAAATTAATAATAAGCATAAATATAGGTAACATACGGCGTCACTAAGATAAAAATGTGAAGATGACCTGGTCCTTCCACCCCACACACACACCATCTAATGCAGTTGAAGACAACGAGTGTAGCAGCAGCCTCTGCAGCATTAGGTCTCAACATACAAAGGAAAAAGCAAGATCCTCAAATTCATCACGGAGAACACCAACCCAATCACACTTGATCGAGAAACTCTGGAAGATGTGGAAACGTTCACGTACACCTGGACAGCATAATCGATGAACATGGAGGATCTGATGCTAACGTAAAGGCAAGGATTGGAAAAGCAAGAACAGCATTCTCACAGTTGAAGAACATATGGACCTCAAAACAACTGTCAACCAATACCAGAGTCACAATTTTCAATGCGAACGTCAAAACAGTTCAACTGTCCGGAGCCGAAATCTTAGAGAACTACCACAATCATATTCAAAAAGGTACAATTATTCATATACAACTGTTTACTCAAGATACTGAATGTCCGTTGACCGGATACCATCAGCAACAACAAACCAGCTTCCATTTGAGCGGAAATGAGGATGAATAGCAACTGGAAAGGATCGCCCAGGACAGAGTTGGATGGAGAACGCTGGGGGGGGGCGGCCTATGCTCCTCCACGACGGGTAACGGGCGTAAGTAGTTAAGTAAGATAAAAATGTAATTACACGTCAAGTTAAATGCTTAATTGAATATTACGTAATGTATGAAGTGATATGCTTTCACTAAGAAACGGTACGAGCCTGTTATTGATGACCGACTACCATATGACCACATCTAACGTTGCTCCACTTCCTTGTGGATTAGACCTATGGGTCAGAGGTTCGGGGAACTGTCTCCTAACAAAATCATCAGCTTTGATTTATGCACCTGAAAAGTATCGCAGCCCATACAGAAATTCAGTGATCTGTGTGACCCATATATTTCTTCTTACCCCTTTGTACCAATATTTGTGTTCGAGTAAATTAATAAATAAATAATGCAAGTAATAATGATGATAATTACAGTAATATTTAAATAAGATAGATTTCAGTTTTAAAAGAATGCAAGACCGAGGGGTTTATATAATTCAACCCAATTGTTAAGATGACTTATTAGGTCTAAAGTTGACCAATGTAAACAAAGCAGTTAGATATATCTCTTTTCTTTGTTAAACTTTGCGATTTATTTTCAATGCAGAATAGCTAACTTTTCCTGCTGTATAGAGAAAGCTATAAGTTTGTCACATAATTCAACGTTCATTTCTTTTAACAATTGTCCGATTGAGATGGTGTATTAATAATGACATTTACAAGTTTTATTGAATGGAACTAGAGTTTCAATGTAGTATAATTCCATGTTTATCTTTTTTCATCAAAAAAACCCAATAAACGTTTTAGGTCCTTGGAAGTGTTGGTGAGCCAATCAATGTATCTGCTTGGGAATGGTATTATAATGTTGTGGGTAATGGTAAATGTTCAATTGTAGATACATTTTGGCAAACAGAAACTGGTGGACATATGCTTACTTCATTACCTGGAGCAAATATAATGAAACCTGGTTGTGCTACTAAACCATTCTTTGGCATTGATGCTCGAATATTATCTGAGAGTGGTGAAGATTTAACAGAAAATTCAAAAACACTAGGTATCAATGTAGAAGGTTATTTGGTCTTTGCTAAACCATGGCCTGGTATGATGAGAACAATCAATAATAATCATGAATTATTTGAATCAGTTTATTTTAAACGTTTTCCTGGTTATTATATTGCTGGTGACGGTTCTGTGTTAGATAAAGATGGAGATTTTTGGATAACAGGTAAGTAATAGTATTTTGTATAAATCAACTTATAAAAATTGAATAAAGTTTCCATGGTGAGGCTATATTTTAAGAACGACCCTTGAGCGATGCTAAAGTGATCTTGAGAATAGTCACCTTCTTTCTAGGGTCAAAAAGGGTTTTAAATTAGTGTAAGAAATTAGTATTGGGATTTAGAGTTTAACGTTAGAGTTAGTGTTTTCATCACAAACTGACATCAGCTATGACAAAATGCTTTTTAGCCATATGGATAAGTGGATTTCGCGCTGTCTGAAATCCAATTAGTTCGTCTACATATTATACTTTCACGTTTTTAATTAAGAAACAATCGAGAGGTGGTTTGTAAAGATTAGTAAAATAAAAGTGAGTAAAGTTGATTCGTTAACTGATAATGCCAAAATAAATAAGTAAAGTCTGATAGTGATTACATTAAAGTGTGTAGTCTGTAATTTGTAATCATTGAGTACCGGTCTAAATGTGTAGACTTATCTATATTTGAATTCACGCTCTGTTTGCGCTCATTTCAATTCTCTCTTGTTGTATTAATGTGATATGTCCCAGAAAAGTCTGACAAAGTTATATTGTTTTTTTTTTCTATAGATTTAGTCTATTCGATTGAGTAATTATGTTATGAGTTGAGTTAGAAGAAATATTCTTTATTTTGCATCTGTTTGTATATAGACAGTTTCAAACTGTTATCATAAGTTATTCTCACAATAAAATCACTGTTGGTATGACTTAAAACCCCATGAACACTCTTTGCTTATTACAGTTGAAACTATAAAAAAGATAATGTTTTTCTCTTTGAGTGAAAGAATCGACCTAGTTGATGACATTTCAGTTTCTAATGCGGAAGTACGGTCATATAAGTGAGAAAGAAAGCATTATTTTCGTTAGAATTCCAAATTAGCAGATACAACCGCTCAAAAGATAGTTCATTTGATAAGTACAAGTATATATTATCAGTTTTGAGCCACATGGTTTTTATGTGAGAGCCATTAGTACTGTCCAGTTACTCAATCTGAAGTAGGTAGATAGGTCCTGATAGTAGCTGCTACCTTGACGTGATGGACGGGCCCGTTTATCATGATAAACCAGTCGAACCATATTGAGAGGAAGGTTTGTTCCTCTAGATTATATTATACCAAGCAGCTCGGTTAGAGAGCGGTAAGACTAACATCAGCAAAACTAAGGTATGTATGCGAATTCGTACTACCAACTTTACTCAAATAAGGTAAGGTGTTTCCCTCAGTTAGGAATCATCAGCATCGACACTACCTTCTCACCATAAAAGGTCGACATACCGAACAATAACCATGGATGCTACAACGGTAAATCAATATGAAACAGTCATGGTCATAAAGAGGTTACAGTTTCATGATTGATAATCAAACAAAGACAGGTTGCATCAAGATCAGAAGGGGTATGAGTGGTGAGGATTAAAATGAATGTGATTTATTGATTTAGTTATGAATCATAATAACGCACATATCAAATCTCTTTATGAATTCTCGTCAACGGGAATATATATATATATCCTGCTAAAGGGTGATTGATCATTGACAACTTCACTTATCTTGGAAGTCTGATCAGCCCTAATGAGTTGGTGTCTGACGAAATCTCAGCACGGATTCGAAAAGCTCGCTTGGCTTTTGCCAACTTACGTCGCCCATGGTAAAGGCGAGATATCCGACTATCAATAAAAGGACGAGTATACTGCGCGGCAGTCCGTTCTGTTTTAATTTACGGCAGCGAAACATGGCCATTAAGAGTAGAAGACACTCGTAAGCTATTAGTATTTGACCACAGATGCCTTAGAAATATTGCTGGCGTCTGCTGGGATCACCGGGTAAGTAATAGTGAGGTTAGACGCAGGATATTAGGAAATGATGGTAAATCAGTTGATGAGGTTATGAATCTTCATCGACTGAGATGGTTGGGCCACGTGTTACGTATGCCTGAACACCAATTACCACGACGTGCAATGCTATCCGGTATTGGAAATGGTTGGAAGAAAGTTAGGGGCGGCCAAACCAAAACGTGGCATCAGTGCTTGAAGTCACTAACTTCTAGTCTGAGCCATGTTGGTAGATGCAGACTACTTGGTTGTGGTTAGAGACTCTTGGTGACATGGCTCAGAATTGATCACAATGGCGTCGGTGTATACACTCTCTGTATTCCCTTACACTATGAGATTAAAATCGCTTCATATCTTTCTTTCTACGAAATAACTCTTTCTTCCTGTACTATATCCTTACTGCAATCTTTCTTTTATATATTACCACCTCATAATTAACTACTTTTATGAATCCGGTGTCCATCTTGTTGTGTTAATGCGGTATGGCAACTTGGAGTGATGTATATATGTGCCTGGTCCTACGTTGTAGCTGACTGACTGCTTGGTCATTATATTTGTTTTTAAATTAAGCAAACACTATCCAAGATATTTACGACCTGACTAGCGTAACCTCATTCATTAACGCAACCATACAGATATGTACTAAAAAAGCATCATCAATCATTTATACAAATTGACTATAATCCTTAATGTTTGTTTCTTTGTTCACCGATCATTAATTTCTGCTTTTTTTTAATGAATCTGAGAGTTAACAAAACTAAACCTTATCAAAGATTAATTTCTATCATTTTCTATTCTAGATTATAAGTTAATTTGTTGTCATTAGTGTTTATGATTTTTCTTTTTAGTTATTGTTCTCTTGATATTCAACTCATATTCTAACTGTATGTACAAACTTCTACAAACTATACATCATTTCCGTTGAATACAATTTAGAATTTCCTTCTATCTTTTTAAAAATAAGAAATGCTTTTCAATACAGTACTAGTATGTATATGCCTAATTGTAGATGAACTGATTGGTTACTTTTCATTCCTTTCTTTCATTCAATTGTTGTTCCTAGTTCTAAAGGGAAAAAAGATACAACTTCCAGTTTATTTGACTATTTTCTCTGATTGTTGTTGCTCGATTGATTGAGCAGAAAATCATTTCTAACTATCAGCGTTTCTATTATTCCCTAATAGATCCATTTATTGCCCATTCTATATTCTGTATTTACTGTCTGTCTGTTTATCTTTTTACGATGATCATTGTTGAATTATTTATATCTTTCAACAATTTACATCAATTAAACTATTTTCTAAACATAATATTCAGTTGAAATATTATTTTATCAGTATATGGTTTTGGAGATTATTTGAGATTGAGATCACGAACTGATTGATGTTAGACCACCATGGAAAACCTGGAAGCACTTGACGGCCGTTTCGTCATATTGTGGGACTCTTCAGCTCATAATGAAACTATTCTATACATACAATGACCAAGATGACTTTAAGATATATAGAAAAAACTAGTAAATTAAGTAGCAGGAACCAATCAGTAAATGGGAAAAGCCTTACAGAAATACGATTTAGAAAAACTGTACTTATGGTTATTGTCACAAGAAAAAATCAGCACTTATTTATAATATACAGTAACTTCTGATCAAGTTAAAAATGAACCAAACTGATAGTTTGAGACTTTCAGTTTTGCTTTAACCATGATCACTGTAGTTTTACTCATCATAAAAGTGTTTTAGTAATCGATTTTTAAAGCGTAACACCGATGACGTACAGCTTCTAAAGGTAAGTTCATCAGTAATATACTTTGACATAATGAAATAGTAAAATCGATGTATGTTTTGTGATAAATTGAAGAAAAGTTATAAAATTGCATTTGTGTATATAAATATTTTTTTCTATTCACTTTCTATATTTCCATAAATCAGGTCGTTTAGATGATATGCTGAATGTTAGCGGTCATCTTATTAGTACAGCAGAAGTAGAAAATGCTCTTCTATTAGATCCAAATGTTAGTGAAGCTGCTGTTGTTGGTCGAAAACATCCAGTTAAGGGTGAATGTTTATATTGTTTTGTTACATTGAAAGATTCTATACTAAATGATCATATGAATGGTTTCATGAATGTTGATATAATTACACAAGAAATGAAATCAGAATTATGTCAAATGATTCGAACAAAAATTGGACCATTTGCTACTCCAGATTACATCCAGGTAATTATATATATATATATATATATATAGTTTTATTTTAGTCAAACTGTGAAAACAATTCATTTCTCAAATAGATAGACTTCAAAACAAGTAAAATCAATCGTTATACATACATGATAGTTAAATCTATTGTCATTGTTTTGAGTTCCATATATTCTTCAACTGTAGGAATGCTGTTCTTGTTTTTCTAATCCTTACCTTTACGTTTCCATCAGTCTTTGGTTTTATATCATCATATAAATTAATACGTTATCATTTTACTCACAACTGTAAAACAATTATGTAAATAGCCTAATTATAAGTGACATTTTTGATTTTAAATAATTAATACCTATGTACAGATACATTTTGACTTCACAGTTTTTGAAATCATGAGTCAGTTGAAGCTAGACCACCATTGAAAACCTGGAAGCACTGGACGGCCGTTTCGTCCTGGTATGGGACTCCTCAGCAGTGCGCATCCACGATCCCGCACCACGCGGGGCTCGAACCCAGGACCTACTGGCTTCGCGCGCGAGCACTTAACCACTAGACCACTGAGCCGGCATCCAACGGTGTTAATGTCTAACTTCAACCAATCCACGAAGTTGCGCCACCGTACACCATTGTCTTCAGTGAGTTGTTATCTCACAACAGACCGGTTGAACTCCACTGGTAACGGCTTCTCACTAGAACTTCAGGAGTTTTTCCTGAAGTCAGTCACTAGTGAGCAGTTGATTATTATTATCAGAATGGGTTTTGTGGAGAATTTTAGAATTTTCACAGTTTTTTTTTTGAAATCATGAGTCAGTTGAAGCTAGACCACCATTGAAAACCTGGAAGCACTGGACGGCCGTTTCGTCCTGGTATGGGACTCCTCAGCAGTGCGCATCCACGATCCCGCACCACGCGGGGCTCGAACCCAGGACCTACTGGCTTCGCGCGCGAGCACTTGACCACTAGACCACTGAGCCGGCATCCAACGGTGTTAATGTCTAACTTCAACCAATCCACGAAGTTGCGCCACCGTACACCATTGTCTTCAGTGAGTTGTTATCTCACAACAGACCGGTTGAACTCCACTGGTAACGGCTTCTCACTAGAACTTCAGGAGTTTTTTCCTGAAGTCAGTCACTAGTGAGCAGTTGATTATTATTATCAGAATGGGTTTTGTGGAGAATTTTAGAATTTTCACAGTTTTTGAAATCATGAGTCAGTTGAAGCTAGACCACCACATTTTGACTTATTAAAAGAACAGAATTAATTATATTATCAACTTTTCATACTGATCACAGTTATAAAGAGATCTATTGACACTACCAATTACTTACAATACTCTTGTTTTGTTATATTTATTGGGTTTGTGCCCCTATCAATATATAACGTAATGATACCGCCAATTGGAGAATAGTGATTTATCGATCGGACCAACAACACACACCGTACACCATTGTCTTCAATGAGTTGATATCTTACAATAGACCTGGTTGAACTGCACTGGTCACGGCATCTCACTAGAACTCCAGGAAATGCCTCTTGAAGACAGTCACTAGTGAGCAGATGATGATTATGAGAAGAGGTTTTGTGGTCTAGCTTCAATTGACTGATGATTTCAACTATTGAAATGAGATAATTCATTAAATTACTTTGAATTTTAACTTGGATACAAAATTATCATTCATATCTAGCTGTATAAATACAAGAATCAATTCATTGTAATGGAATTCTTTTGATAACCTATGATTATTATTATTATTTGTTTGAATCTTACTAATAGTTTGCTTATTTGACACATTATAATCATCTGTATAGTAAATAATATTTGATGAACTCATTTTTATATGAAACATTCTTGTAAATTATTCATTGAATAGAATAGTTATCGTTTATAATGAATTAATGATGATGATGATGATGATAATGACAAGATTGTATGCTATTCAAAATGTTACTATGACCACTGAAATAGAATTACAGACTTGAATTTGTTTTTACTAGAATAAAGGAAATCGTAATTATGTAATAGATTTGTTGTTTATTGTGATTGATCATTGTGTAATAAGTAAGCAAGTGTTACCTTTAGTCTCGTTGTTAGTACTGATCGGAACCTTTGTTTAACCCACATTTTATGTCAATCAGCATTCTTAATTGTTATAAGTTGTTTGTGGGTTTGTGTACCTATGATTGCGTAACGTAGTGATACCGCCAATTGTAGAACGGTGACTGATCGACCGAACCAATGACTGACAAAATTTGTAGGAGCAGTCTAGAAACCTTAGCGATCGTGCTTCTTACCTAGCCCTGTCTGTTAAGTCCAGAACACCAATCTTAGCCTCTGCTATATGAATCGTGTATTTCAAACAAACCTAGTTTATATACAAACCAAACAGATCACATTGTAGCATAAAATAGGAAACAACATTTGTAGAAGATTTAGTCAAAAGTGACTGTGACTGGGGATAACTCAGTAATAGTAAATGGTGTAATAATAGTTCATAGGTTAAAATAAAGCTTATAATAAACGGAACATGAATATGCATAGTTTAGCTACTTAAGAATTACACAATAAAAATATATGTATCGTATTGGTCCATAAATAGTTGGCAGGAGTTACTATTCAATGTTCTCACCTTCTTACTTTAAAATTAAACTGAATTATTTTCTCGAGTAATTTCAATATGTTTTCTAGTAGTCGTAAAAATCATACTGAATAAGTTAATGGACTACTAGTTACTGTGTTATGATGAATTCACTTAATAATAAATACTGATAAGTTGACTGAAAATACTAAACATCTATTATATATTGGAATGTAATTATTTATTCAAATTTCTTTTCTCTCCGGTTAACATAATTATGCTTTTTTTGTCCATATCTATTCTTTATTTTGCTTTGTCTTTTTTTACAAATAGAATTGTTGTAAAAAGTAGTACAATTTGATGATCATTTTACGTAATATTATTAGGTCAAATTAGTCAATACAATGGAGTTTTTTAATGTTAGGTTTAGGGACCACGCATGAGCTCGAAGGTTTTGGGTTCGATTCCCGTATGTGGGTTCGTAGATGGGCACCACAAAAGAATCTCATACTAAGAAGAAACAGTAGTTCAGTGCTTTCAGGTTGTATAACTCATTTGGATTCACAATTGTAAAGAGTCAAGTGGATGCTCACTGCTGAGGAGTCCCATACTAGGACGAAACGGCCGTCCAGTGCTTCCAGGTTTTACATCGTGGTCTAGCTTCAATTAACTTATGATTTCAACTATTGAAAGAATTAAGTTTCCAAGAATTCACTTCACGTGTTATTACGGGAAAAGTTCTGTATCTGGTTCAAAGATATTTTATCATAAGTAACCTCAGAAAACTGGTTTAATATTGCTAATCTTGTCGATCGAGGAAGGCGACCTCAGAGTTCAAGAGACATGTGTTTAAGGCCGCTTATATGTAACATTTTTGTTTTTAGCTAGTCTTTTAGCATTTATTCCATGCTTTTTCCAACCTTTTCACTGGTTCCAGAAATTTCTGAGTCCAAGTGATGGTGTAAACATTTCGGGAAATTCATGCAATAAGTGTTGAGTTTTATTTATGAAGAGAAAGCATTAAGGAAAATATCTCTTTAAGTCAGTCAAACGTTTCAGCTAAAATAATTAAGATTGCAAGATCTATCTGACTATCGATTCCCTGTGTCGATACATCCATTAAACTTGTCTGATCACTCTTCCCTTCTTATCTCTGATTCATTCGCCAAGTGATTGTTAATGACTTGAATTTGATATATTCGTCTGTGTACATAATTCTAGGAAAACACTGAGTAGAGAAACGGTCAGATAGTTGAAGAGCTTTGCTTCGGAGGACTTTCAGGGGTATTTTAAAGAGTGGAAATGAATATAGAAAACATACATTGTCACAACTTAGAATTATTTTGAAAGGGAATAGGTTAATATCTATTAAATTTGGTAAGATTACATTAACATATTTACTCGACGATTAGTTAACCAGAAACAACGTAGAGCCTGGAATAAATGTCCGTCGGCCTAATTTCACGTACCACATCAACATAACATGAAATTTTATAGGATAACTAACAAAACTTATCTAAAGAATACAGTATCAACGATAATAAGAAAAAAAAAGCATCCAGAATCTAGTACAAAATGACAAAATAGAAAATTATGCATAAACCAATACTGAAAATCAACGTTTTCGAGTCGTTCATTATTTTCTATAGTTTCATTAAAATCATGAACCAATTGAAGTTAGACCCAATATTGAAAACTTGTAAGCACTAAACAGTTGATTCGTTCTGAAGAGTCTTATACTAGAACGAAATGGTCATCTATTATCCTCAGATTTCCAACGATTATCTAATATTGATCTTTTCATAGTTTCATTGAAATTCAATAATTATAGTCTATGAACAATTTTCTAATGAATCTAATCCTTCATCTCTTGTATTCATATTTTATTTATTTATGTTTAGAGTGCACCTATATTGCCAAAAACACGTAGTGGTAAAATTATACGACGTATTTTACGTAAAATAGCTAATGAAGATTATGAATTTGGTGATACATCAACTTTATTGGATCATTCTTGTTTAGAGACTTTAATTAAATTATCCAAATTTGTCATAAATACATAATTGAATGTGTTCCTCTCAGTTTTGTTGTTGATCTTCTTTTTATCTCTTTTATTTTCTTCAAAACTGTGTGACAATCACAGAGATGAAAATTAGTAATGACACATTCAATATACCTTTATATTATTATTATCATCATCATCATTTACATTGAAGTGTTTATTCGCTCATTGTTATTATTTTTCTAGTTAAATAACAATTTCTGTAATTCATTCTTTCTTTTGTCATATCATGAATTGAATGTTTTGTCTTCAGTGTGTTTATCTACTTATCTGTTTATTTTTTCTTATGGTTCACTGTTGTCAGTTGTATTATTATTAACATTGGTGTTCTTGTTGCTACAGTTACACAGGACTTATGTGAACTGTGCAACGTTTCATAGATATTAGTCTATTTATGTGAATCTCATAACTTCTATTGTTACTATTTATTGTGTACTTACTTTTTTGTTGAAATGTCTCCGTTTCCATATATATATAATTACATGCTAATATTACTACTACTAGTATTACTACGATTATTATTATTATCTTTATCATTGCAATCCTTTCCTCCCAACCCTCCCCCCTCTTGATCAAGTAGTAAGGTTGTGGGCTTTTATTACTTATTGTCCTTTTTTTAGGAATTCGTTTTTCCGAACTTGACTAGCCGTTTATTACTTAGTTCTATATTGTTACCAGCTTTTTTTTTTACTTCACCTACTACCATCCATGACAACTTTGTTTATTTTTCTTATGTGACACCTGTTTTTTCTCCTCCTCGAAATGAGCAATTCAAATATTCGTCAAGTAAACTGTATTACTATTAGTGTTGTTATTCAGCATTTTTTTCTCTCCGTCAGTTTTTTATTCTCTCCACAATATTTTGGAGCAGAAATCTCACGGTTGTGACTATTGTTTCAGTTTACTATTTATTACTATTGTTATTTTTAAACTGAAAAAGGGACAATATTAGAATCCCTTATGTTATTATTACAAAATAACTACTTAATTATACCTGTGTTCATTTTGAGTACAGTTTTAGTTGCTACAGTACTACGAATTGTGTTAGTTGTGGTTGACCACATTTGTAGATAGACAGGTAATTAAGTACGTAGCTTATATTATTACTTTGAGATCTGTTTTCAGTACATAATAATACCACAGTTAGTCCTTTGTTTAGTCTTAGGGTGAGATTCGCTCACCTACACATGATGGAATCTGGGATTGACCTTCAGATATTGTGATGAGAACATCACGTTTAAACTATTGAATCAGAATCCGATAAGTTTTATACTCTTTGAGCAAGTTGGTAATTATCCAAACTTGTCGGTATTTGAATTAGTAGGTACTAGATTCAGGTTCCAGTGTGACTTTACTATTATAATCCAAGTACATTCAGCTGACAAGTCTCGAATAGGGGGGGGGGTGAAATCTGCCTCCTAAATTTTGATACTGGCCACGATCTAACTAAATTAAGTACTTTAATCAATTCACCGTTTAATAGTCTAGGATATATATCAATGTTAATTGATCAGTTTCAATTATCTTCTATTATCAGTGATAACTTTCTTCAGTCAGTAACAACGTAGAACTTTGTACGTACATACATCAGTTCGAGTTGCCACACCACATTAGCACAGAGATGCAGCTGTCGATCCAAATCCCGTAGTGGTAGAGGTAGTAAGAGTATAAGGACTAATCGGGAAGATTAAGGTTTGGAGATGTTATTTAAAGAGTATAATCCAGTGAAATAAATTTGGGAAGAGGAAAAAGAGACAATGAGGAATCAGGAGATTAAAATTTGGCAGAACACAAAGAGTGGAATCACCTGCTCTATTGCAAACGATTTTGAGCCATGTGATTCATGGTGTCTAACCATCGGTTTCTATCATCTGGCGGTCCTCAACCATCTAGTCTACATATACCAACATGACTTAGTCCACTTGTCAGTGACTTCATGGACTTGTGCCATGTTTTGGTCTGGCCACCCCTAGCTTTCTTCCAACTTACTCGTACACCATAAAACATTGGACGTCAGGGCAGTCGGTGGTTGGGCATACGTAACACGTGTCTCAGCTGATGAAGTTTGACTACTTCAATTGGTTTGCCATCCTTACCTAGTACCCATTTCCTAACAACTGCGTTAAACAAGAATGGAGAGAGTGGACAGCCCTGACGAACACCACTTGAGATAATCAATTCTGATGACAGTTCGCCATAAGCTCTCACTCGACCAGTTTTGTTCGAGTAGAGAGCCTTTACAAGGTTAATGTACATCTTTGATACTCCTTTCAGTGACAAACACTGCCATAGAACCTCACGATCAACAGAGTCGAATGCTGCCTTAAGGTCGAGAAATACTACGACTGTGGGGCATCTGAATGTGTGTCTGTGTTCTAGAACCTGACGTAGTGTGAATATCTGGTCTGTGCAACCACGTCCAGGTCGAAAACCGGCCTGGTTTTCTCTAGTCTGTTCTTCACGAGCTTTAGTTAGGCGTCGAAGTATTATTGAAGCTAATATTTTAGACACTATATTAGTCAAACTGATTCCTTTGTGATTGTCACAAGAGGACTTTTGTCCTTTCTTATAGACTGGCACAATCAGTGATTGAGACCAGCCAGATGGGATTACATCCAGTTCCCAAATTCGACTTAAGACCTCAGTTAATCTCACTGCTAATACTGAACCACCCTCCCTAAAAATCTCAGGAGTAAACCTGTCAGGGCCTGCTGCTCTCCCTCGCTTCAGATTACCTATGGCATTTTCAACTTCATAAAGAGACGGAGGACCTACATTAACTTGCCATTCAGGTTGACTGGAGATCGTGGGAAACCGAAGTGTGGCTGAAGTCCAGTTGAACTGATCCCTAAAGTGTTCTGCCCATCGATCCAATCTCCTGGATTGAGAATGAATAATATGTCCATCTTTCTCTGAGATTGTTTCGCTAACAGTCGGGTTCCTAATACCGGTTTCCCTAACCAGTCTGAACAATTGTCTGCTATTACGTATTGCCGCTGCCTTTTCCATCTCTTGCTTTCGCTACCCACCACTGTTCGCGATCATTGCGTAGGCTTCTTGTCAGCTTGTGCTTAAGCTGACTCCGCTCTTCCTTATTTTCAGAGCCAGATGGAATGAGTTTTCAAGCATCTATCAGTGCGATAGATGCTGCTGAGATCCAGTGTTTCTCCCTAACCTTGCGGTTTACCGTACTAGCAGATATCACTGCTGTTTCCACAGCTTTTCGGATATCATTCCATGCTGCATCAGGGTGGGCATCACCTACATGGCTGCCTAACTGTTTTCCTAATTGTTCCTGAAATATATTCTTAGCTTGACTACCATTAAATAGAACCCTAAAAGGTCTCCTTGCAGCGTCTTTCTTACGTCCAGTAAGACGCAGGTAAATACACACTCGCACTAGAGCATGATCTGAATCTAAGCATGTGCTCCAGAATGAGCGATAGTCTTCTATCGAGCCCTTCCATCGGTGGCTGATGGCGATGTGATCTATTTGGGTCCAACGTTGGGACGAATTAGGGGGTCTCCATGTTAAAAGATGTTTTTCTCATGTTTAAAGTTAGTATTTGCAAGGAACAGGCGGTTACCTGACCATAGCTGCAACGGACGGTCGCCATTAACTGTTCTTTGAGCCACGATGCTATAAGATCCACCCAGGTGTCTTTCCCTATCGCTTAGTTTACCTACTCGAGCATTAAAGTCACCGGCCATTATTACTACATCCGAGCGCTTAGCTTTTAGGAGGTCGGAGAGCTTTCTGTAAAACTCATCTTTTACATCATCTGAGCTGCAGTCAGTGGGGGAATAGGCAGAAACGACGACGAGTGTCCCTATCTTTTCAGATCCTTACTGTTCCGTTTAGTCGGACAGCGCACAAACGACTGTCTACTGGGATCCACTCTAAGAGAGCTAGTTCTGCCCTAGAACTCAATGCTAGACCTATGCCGGCGAAGCCACGGGAAGCAAAATCAGGGCTTCCAGATACACGAAGTGTGAATCGAGTCGGTTCTTTATTTTGGCATGGTGAGGTCAAATGAATGACGCTATTCGGATCCTGTATGCGCGTTTCGGAGACGCAGCACACATCGATGGCGCGAGATTCTAAGGTCCTAGCTAAGGAAGCCTGTTGTCGAACGTTAAAAGCTCCTACGTGTAGTTTAGAGCGTGGTTTCAGGAGACCAGGAATAGCGTTCTGCGTACTCGAATCGTTTGCCCTAGCGGCGCGAGGTGATAAAGAGACGTGAGGAGGGTTAGTCATGGAGATAAGAGAGGTATTAGGAGGTGTAGGAAGGATTTGAATGTGACCAACTTGGTCTTGTGTGCTGTTACGGGTATGAGGGCTGGTGTTACTTCCCGGCTGCCCACACCGTGGAAGGTTATTTTTGAGGAACCTGAAAAGGAAATTGGATTAGTGTTGGTCTTAAAGACCTGGGAGCGTGACCGCAGAGCCCAAGGGACAACTGCTTGAGGCCGGTCGCGCACGGCCTTTTCGTGGGAGGTTTTTGACGTGTTAGCTCCGTTCTTCAAAGGGCCTTACCGCCGGAGACGGAAATCCGTGAGGTAAGGAGAGGTGTGACATTTTTAAGGTCGATCTCTTCTAACCCCACCCCTCCTTATGGGAAGGCAGCATCGCTGCAGATGCTGGTTGTCGGAGGGAAACACCTTACTGCTGTTACACCTCTTTACAGTCAGCAGTATGACTTCGCCCTCAGACCTTGAGTTGCTGCTTTTAGTCTTACCGTTCTCCTATCGACCTGCCTACAGGAACATATATTCCAGCCAATATAGCTCGGTTGGATCATCACGATAGGCAAGCCCGATCACCGCGTCAAGGTAGCAGCTACGGTCGGGATAACTTTCTTAAAATTAAATTAAATTGTAATGTTAAATTTCGATTGTCCCTTGTTTCAATAGGTCTACCAGTGAAAAATATATGGCCGTTTCAATACTGATTCTTAACATTGTCCAAACAGCACTGGAAAATGATGTCATGTCATTTCGAAATTGTTCAACAGTGTACACTTACGATTGGTTCATACACCATTTGTGTCCTTAGGATCCTGGAACCCATGTGCACCATTGGTTTGGGATGAGGGTCTTCCAACTGCCCTAGGTGGACTCTCCATGTCCACCAACCGGGTTAAAGAACCGGACATTCGCTTTTTGTCCTCTCAAGTTCGTAAACAGCACCCCCGCCGCGAGAAGGCAGTAAGCACAACTTCCTTGGGAGTGGTTGTATACTCATGCCCATGTGAGAGCATTTCGAGAGGGAGGGCGGATTCTCCTCACCCTTGGCCGTACCAGGGCATTTGGGAGCTTATGATCCTAAATGTCTATTTTTACGTACATTCATTCAAAAGAAACAGTAAAATTCAGTTAAAATTATGTTCAAAGTATAGGGAAATTGTCGTTAATTTGATTTCATTGGATAGCGAACTTATTTTGAAATTATGTTAGAGATGTGTCTGTTTATCTTACTAGATCAACCAATGTTCGAATAAAAATACTGATATTTGATGCAGATAATCTATTCCTTCTTTTCTTCACCTTCCTTTCATTTTATTTACTAGAATTATGAGGAAGTCAATTGCTTAAGCAGTTTTTTTTCCCATATTTATTGAATTAACTATGAAGTGTTTACATTCCAATAAAATAGTTGGTTTATTGGTTATCACTAATAGAAAGCGATAAATCTAGATTTCAGTACTGTTGTTACTGATTCCTGGAAGTAATTTTGGTTAGTGACGGAATAAGTTGGATTCATATTACTCTGTTTCAATTATGATTTTATCTTGATTCAACTAGTTAATTTTAAGATACATATCTCTTATTGACGAAGTAGTTTCCAATATCTTTTTATTAGGTTCTACGGTTATGATTCATATTTTAGTTATGAAACTTTAGGAAGACAGAGTAATCACAAATGTAACTTATAACTTTCTACTAGTTAATTCGATGTATAATTTTATTAAATTTAAACCATCCTTTCCCATCATAAAAGTTTAGTAA